CTTCTGTCTTGATGTACAGCTAGATCTCCACGTGCCTTATCTCCCCTCCTGACTGGGAGCTCTTTGAGGGGAGGACACATCCACACATTCATACAATGTCTAGCTCAGTGCCTTTCACACAAGATGTACCCACTGGAGGCAGCATCATGAGGGGTTATGAGTGCAGAGTCTTGAACCAAGTGGCTGAGGTTCACATCCTGGCTTTGCAGCAACTTATCAGCTGAGTGACCACTGGCAAGTTACTTACCCTTTCTGAGCTTCAACTTTCTTGTCTTTAGAAAGGAAAGGATGATTATACTTGTCACATTGAGTTTTGTAAAGGGATAAGTAAGACAAGATGTAAAGCATTCAGCTCATCACATAGTAAGTACCCAAGAGAGCTTAATTTTTTTATTGTTGTTGTTATCAATTAGGCACTCCCACATTTGATAAATGCACATATGACTGTTATATATCAGGTCACAGTTCTGTATGCTGTATGCAAGATTTTTTAAAATAGTGAGTTAAATGTTTGTTATATGGCCAGCATCATGTTAGACACTCTACAGATGTGTCCTTGCTTAATGCTCTGTGGGCAAGTGAAAAATGTCCCCTCTATGGGTGAAGAGAAAGGCCAAAATTAGTTTAAATAACTGTTCAGTGTTGCAATTATTTAACACTGGGCAACAAGACTTGAGCAGTGCAACAAGACTTGAAATACTGTATTGACTTAAAAGGTGGAATCTTTGCTTCACTTTCCCACCACCTCTTCTGGCTTAATGGCCCCTCACAATAGCTTTGCAACTTTTGACAGCAAGTCACCTTTTATATTGTGACTCAGCCATAGCAACATATAAACATAACCAAAACATGCATTCCACAAAAAGTACTTAAGGGTGTTCTGTGCAGCATGAACTAATAATTTCCATTGCATCATTACGTTCTCTTTCTTTCTTTTTTTTCAGGCAGAATCTAGCTCTGTTGCCAGGCTGGAGTGCAGTGGCTTGATTTCAGCTCACTGCAACTTCTGCCTCCTGGTTCAAGCTATTCCACTGCCTCAGCATCCTGAGTAGCTGCTGGGATTACAGGCGCATGCCACCACCCCCGACTAATTTTTTGCATTTTAGTAGAGATGGGGTTTCACCATGGCCAGGCTGGTCTCTATCTCCTGACTTCGTGCTGGTCTGTGTCTCCTGACCTCGCGATCCACCCTCCTCAGCCTCCCAAAGTGCTGGTCTTACAGGTGTGAGCCACCATGCCCAGCCTCTCTCTCTCTCTCTCTCTCTCTCTCTCTCTCCCTCCCTGTCTCTCTCTCTCTCTCTCTCCTTCCTTCTTTTCTTTTCTTTTCTTTTTCTCTCACTCTGTTGCCCAGGCTGGAGTGCAGTGGTGCCACCATGGCTCACTGTAGCCTCAAACTCCTGGACTTGAGCTATCCTCCTTCCTCAGCCTCCTGAGTGGCGGAGACTACAGGTGCTCGCCATCATGCCTGGCTAATTTTTTTTTTTTTTAAATTTTTGTGGAGGCGGAGTCTGTCTTTGTTTCCCAGGCTGTTCTCAAACTCCTGGCCTCAAGCAATCCTCCTGTCTTGACCCTGCCAAAGTTCTGGGATTACAGGCACGAGCCATCATGCCTGACCTCTTTTTTCTTTTCTTTTTTCTTTTAAGTTGATCATGACCCACCAAATTGATCTAATGATCAATTAAAGTGAGATAGAACTTGAGTTTGAGAAACACTGGTCTGGCTTAAGTACTCAGGCAGTGCTGCCAGAACAGCCCATTTTCATCACACTTACAGTTTGGAGCCCTGTGTATGTTTCATTCCAGCCCCTCAGCCAGTCTGTTAGAGATTATCGAATATGTTATCCTCATTTTATAAATGAAGATATCAAGGCTCAGGGATATAAAATGGTCTTCCCAAGTCTCCCCAGCAGCCAGAAAATGTGGAGCCAGTGCTTTCTTTCCAGCCTTCTAACTTCGAGAATGGTGCTTTGGAGACCCAGTAATTCCTGCTGCCAAGGATCACCCATTTATTCACTTAATGTGTATTGATGGCTCGCTTTGACCAGGCATGGTGCTGGGCTCTTGGTACACAGCAGTAAGCAAATTTGACATAGTTCCTGGATTTGTGGAATGTTCAGTCATATCTGGCATTAGTCCGTTTCTTTCAGCGTGAGACCCCCAACCTTTGCATTAGCCTATGTGACCTTACATGATAAGTCCCTTAGCACTGCTCCGGGCTCAACTTCTGCCCTGTCTCTCTCCTTCTTTCTTCTCTATATCGGGTGTGCTCGTGCCTCAGGGCCTTTGCTCAGCCTGTTTCCCCTGCCTGGTAAGCTCTCACTCCAGATACCTGCATAGCTGCTTCCGTCATCTCCTTCAAGTCTTTGCTGAAGCACCTTCTTCTAAATAAGATGTATCCTGAATACTTTACTGAAACTGGAACTCCTTTCTCCTATCTCATTTAGCTGGTACTCCCAATCCTCCATACATTGCTCTGTTGTTTTTTTTTCCCACATAGCACTTTTTAATCTTTTAAACTTTTATTTATTTATTTATTTATTTATTTAGAGGCAGAGGCTCACTCTGTTGCCCAGGCTGGAGTGCAGTGGTATGATCTTGGCTCACTGCAACCTCTACCTCCCAGGTTCAAGTGATTGTCCTGCATCAGCCTCCTGAGTAGCTGGGACTACAGGCACACACCATCACGCACAGCTAATTTTTATATCTGTTTTTTTTCAGTAGAGATGGGGTTTCACTATGTTGGTCAGGCTCGTCTCGAACTCCTGACCTCAGGTGATCTGCCCACCTCAGTCTCCCAAAGTGCTGGGATTACAGGCGTGAGCCACTATGCCTGGCTATTTTTTACCATTCTATAAAATTTATTATGTTTAGCATTTATTGTCTTTATCTGTGTCCACCTACTAGAATGAAAGGTAAAAGCAGGGGATTTTGTTGGTTTGTTCACTGCTCTATCCTCAGCACCCATCTATAACCTGGTACCTAGTAGGACTCTATAAATATTTTTTCACTTGAATGGGTAGGTAAGATAAATAATCATCAAGTTCAAAATATAATTAACAAATTATGATATGGTCAGAGGTTAAAAAAAAAAGAAAAGGAACAAAAAAGCTCATAGGGGTTCATGAAAGAGTATAACGTCAGGCCTAATTTAGATTGGGTGGGTTAGAGGAAGTGACTTTTTTAGGTGGAGAACATAAGAGGGACTTCAGTTCCCAAATTAGTTAGTGCAGACCCCGCCATTGCAAGCCGAAGGAACATAGTATAAAGGAGAGATTTAACACAAGCAGAAGTCTCTAAGAAGAGATAAAGTGATTTATTCATTTAGCAAACACCCTCTGATGGAAAGAGAGAAGCATGTCACATATTGGTGTTGCCCAAGAACCAAAACACACATCTGTCTTACTTAATCTCAACGTCACTGAGTTTCTGCTATTATCTCCTCTTGACAGACGAGGAAACCCAGGTGTTGAAGAACTTCTCCAAATGCATCCAGCTATTAAGATACAGAACTGGATTTCCAAATAAAGTGTCTTTGGCACCAAAGTTTATGCCCTTTCACTCTCTGAGCACCTACTGTGTGCTAGCACACAGTTGTGCTCTCAGAAACAGGGATTACACAGCCAGGAAGGACAGAGACCCCGACTTGAAGGAGTTCACAATATCCCTTGAGAGACATGCTGAAAAACTTCCCTGATTAGGACACAGATTTTTTTTCTGGCGCCAGTTCTTTTACTTCTGGACATGCCTTCCTAGGCTACTGTTTTTCAAACCTTGATAATTCATATTTTTGTTTTTGATAGCCACTGTGTTATCTATTGGTGAATGCCTCAGAATTCAGTGGCTTAAAACAATAAGCACTTATTATCTCACAGTTTCTGTGGGACAGGAATTTGGGAGTACGTTACCTAAGTGATCTGGCTCTGGATCTCAAAGGAAGCTCCAGTCAGACTGTCAGCTGGAATTTCAGTCATCTGAAGGCATGTCTGGGGCAGAAAGATCTGTTTCCATGGTGATTCACTCACAGGACTGGAGTTGGTGCTGGCTGTTGGCAGGAGGCCTCAGTTCTTTGCCAAATGTACCTTTCCATAGTACTGCTTGAGTATCCTCATGGCATGGCAGCAGGCTTCCCCAAAAGCAAGTGATCTGAGAGAGAGCAAGGTGGAAGCTGTAAGGTCTTCCACATCCTACTCCTGGAAGTCATACATTGTCATTTTTGTAATATCCAATGGGTTACACGGGTCAGTCCTATTCATTATGGAAAAATACTACACAAGAACATATATACCAAGAGATTGAAAAAATCATTGGGGGGCCATCATAAAGGCTGACCGCTACAGCTACCTATCATCTGTAACATTATTTACTTGATATTTTCCACCTTTTGTTAAAATCAGCCTTATCCTAAACAGTAATATCAGTTAAGTCACAACATTAATATGCTAATTGTATTTTCCAGCAAAAATGAATATAAGCTTATTATTATTATTATTATTAAGATGGAGTCTCACTCTGTCGCCCACGCTGGAGTGCAGTGGGGTGATCTCAGCTCACTGCAACATCCCCCTCCTGGGTTCCAGTGAGTCTCCTGCCTCAGCTTCCCGAATAGCTGGGATGACAGGTGCCTGCCACCACATCTGGCTAATTTTTATAGTTTATATATTTTTTAGTAGAGATAGAGTTTTGCCATGTTGGCCAGGCTGGTCTTGAACTCCTGATCTGCCCACCTTGGCCTCCCAAAGTGCTGGGATTATATGTGTGAGCCATCATGCCCTGCCAAAGTTGTAATTATTAATGAAAAAAAAAATCTGTGTATCACCTATGCTGGCTTGCATAGTTCCAGTGACACAAATGTTACCCTTGGGGAAACAGCAAGCCCAGCAAACAGGGATCTGTCAGAGAGTCCTGGTAGTTTTCATTATAAATTCCAGCTCTTCCCCACTGTCGATTTGGAGCCCTAGAAGCTACAGGATGCTAATGTTGCTTTTTGCTGTCCTCTTCCAGGACCGCCTGTATTTTGTGATGGAGTACGTGAATGGGGGAGACCTCATGTATCACATCCAGCAAGTCGGCCGGTTCAAGGAGCCCCATGCTGTGTAAGTGAGAACTAGTACTATGCGTTCTCCTTGGGATAAATGGGTAGGTTAGTGGTTCCTTTGGGTTGTTTTTTTGTTTTGTTTTTGCCAGAGAGGGATTTTTAAACACCTCAGGCATCTTTGTTACAAATATTTGGCCAGGAAAGAAAGGTTTTCTGCTTAATATGAGATGCTTCTTTTTTTTCCTGACAGCAGCTAAGAACCTAAAGCTCAGCCAGGTACCATGGCGCATACCTGTAATCTTAGCATTTTGGGAGGCTGAGGTTAGAGGATCACTTGAGCTCAGGAGTTGGAGACCAGCCTGGGCACTATGATGAGATCTCATCTCTATAAAAAAACAAAAATCTTAGCTGGGCATGGTGGCACACACCTGTAGTCTGCAAACAGACAAACAAACAAAACAAACTTGAAGCTCTAAAACCATGGCTATTTTTTTTATTTCTAATTCATGTCCCTGACTGCTTAGAAAGGCCTTATACCTTCCTTGGGGATTGTCATTGTAAGTTTTATATGTTCGTTTGCTAATATTTATTGAGAACTTACTATGAGCTAGGCCCTAAGTGCTTAACAAACACCATCTCATTTAGCCCTGAGAATAACTCCGGGAGGGAGGTGTTACCATCTTTGCTTCACAAACAAGGAAATGGAAATGGAGTGTTTCGAAAGCTTGCTCAAAATCACAGAGCTAGTAAGAAGCCGTTCCCGAATTCTGACCCCAGCTTTTCTTTGCCCATGTTCTTTACCTTATACCACTCTCCCTCTTAGTTGCTTTCCCTCCAAGGCAGTGGAGGATCAAGGTGCATAGTGGCAGTGGTCTGTGGTTCATGAAATGGGGAGACCGAATCTGGGTTGTTGGAAATGTGTTTCCTCTGCTGAGTCAATTCCATCCCCTTCAGTTCAAATGGCAGCTACAGTCTCTTCAGAACACAGATCTCATCATGTCACTTCCCTGTTTGGGAACATGGCAAGTTATAGGAATTAGCAATGATAACCTCTCCTGGGGAGTTTGCAAAGATCTTATTGCCTCTCCAGAGAGCCCCCAGAGCTCATCTAGAAGCATTACATAGCATTTTATATGGCATTACATAGCATTTATATAGCATTATATAGCATTTTATGAGCTATATAGCTGACCATCCATGGGGACTTTAATGCCCTGCCCAGTTCAGCTTGCCTCCTCTCCTCCCACCTGGCCAGGTTGTGAGCACTATGTTCTGATGGGATTTGCATTATTTTCGTGCTTCCAAATCAAGCCATTCCTATCTCCTGGCATAACTCTAGTAGTATTAGCTTTTCTTTTACTTCTAGCATCTAATTAAGGCTGGGCATGGTGGCTCATGCCTGTAATCCCAGCACTTTGGGAGGCCAAGGTAGGCAGATCACCTGAGGTCAGGAGTTTGAGACCAGTCTGACCAACATGGAGAAACCCTGCCTCTACTAAAAATACAAAATTAGCTGGGTGTGGTGGTGCATGCCTGTAATCGCAGCTACTTGGGAGGCTGAGGCAGGAGAATCGCTTGAACCTGGGAGGTGGAGGGAGGTTGCGTTGAGCCAAGATGGCACCATTGCACTCCAGCCTGGGCAACAAGAGGGAAACTCCATCTCAAAAACAAACAACAACAACAACAAAAAAAACACAGTTCCCTAAAGCCCTGCCCAACCTTTATGGCATAACTGGGCTCCCTAGGTCTCCTGAAACCTCTTTCTTTCTGGGTTGACCTTCAACACAAGGTTACACTTTAGACAGATGTCATTTCTGATTCCCGCTGTGCCATTCCTTCGCTATATAACTTGCCCAAGTTAATCTCTCTAACCCTCAGTTTCCTCATTTGAGGAATGGGGAGATAATAGTGGGACCTACCTTACAGAATTATTATTAGGATTAAATCAGGTAATGCCTAAAATCGTGCTAGGCAGATGGTTAACCTTCAGCAGATGTTAGCTGCTATTGTTAAGAAAATTTAACTTCCTATATAGTCTGACCGTATAATTCAATCCTTTTGTGGGGGATGGGGGACAGAGTCTCACTCTGTTGCTCATACTGGAGTACAGTGGCCTTGATCATAGCTCGCTACAGCCTTGATATCCTGGACTCAAGCAATCCTCTTGCCTCAGCCTTCTGAGTAGCCGAGATCACAGGCACGTGCCACCACACCTTTAATTTTTTTCTTTTATTTTTAGTAGAGACAAGGTCTCACTATGTTGCCCAGCTAGTGAAACTAATTCTCCACCCAGTTAATCATGTTCCATGGCTCCCTCTCCACCATGCAATTGCTGAACTTCTGCCTGTGCCCAATTTGTCCTTAAGGAATCCCCATCACCCTCTAAAGCACCCTGTTCATCCATCCATACTTGCAGCATCTTATGAGCTATGTAGCTGACCATCCACGGGGACTTTAATGCCCTGCACCTAGTTCAATGTTGTATTGAATTCTGAGCACTGCCAAGCATCTGGTGTCCTTGAGTTTCTCCATTACATTTTTTTTTTTAATTTCAGATTTTACGCTGCAGAAATTGCTATCGGTCTGTTCTTCTTACAGAGTAAGGGCATCATTTACCGGTAAGTGAACACTGCTGTACTTTCCAGCTCTTCATCTCCCTCAGCTCCTCCCTTCCCAGCCTCTTTCTTCAGCTGCTTTTAAAATTAGAATCCGTGGTGGGGGAGGAATCCTCCAGAACTAACTTGGGCATGTGTTCTGCCAGGCAGCATCGCCCACTGCCCTGGCAAAGTTTGGGCAGCTCTATGTGGTGGTAGAAAATCTCGACGGACTATGTCACTGGTGATGGGTCAGAGCCTCAAACAGGAGACCGTTTGCTCTAAGAGGAGGAGACTCACAGAGAGGACCCCAGTACTTCTTTCTCTTTTCTGTGGACCCTACATTTAGGGAGCAGGCAAAGAAATTTGGCTGGCAGAATGTGATGGATTATATTATTATGAACCTTTTTTTTTTTTTTTGCTATGTAACTACAACTTGGAAATGGATCTGTGAGTAGCTGCCCTGAAAGACAGGATTAGGTTCAGGACTTGGCATTTTCTGGTTTTTGGAGGAGCAAATGGATGATCATAGCTGCATGAGTCATACCATTTTATATTTCATGCAAGGCAGACGATTGCACCCGGGGCTGCTATTTGTCAGTGAGTCCGGGGTGTACAATTCTCCTTGTACTACGTCGATGCAAATGGCTTAGCCAGCGCAGGCTTGGGCCAGTGCATTATGCAAGAGAGGCATAATGCACTATGGCACCGGTGGGGGTCTTTTTCAAAGATCGTGAAGAACCACTAAAGTCTATTTCATTCATATATTTGACACATATTTATCAAATCCTACTATATTCTAGGCACTATTCTGGGTGGTGGGCATACAGAAGTGAATAGAACAGATGAAACCCCTGCCTCTGTGGACTTTATCTTCTCCTGGTGGGAGACAGATAAGTAAATCATAAAAATGTAGTCTGCCAAGTAGTGATAATGGAGATAAGTCAAGAAGGGGAGAGGGCTGGTGTGCACTGGGTATTGGAAAGTTTCCTCTCATTCTGTAGAGTGCATGGTGACAAGGGCCTGGAGAGTTAGGGTGACTTCGGTGTCCTGGGCATTTTGGTGTAACTGCAGGATATGGGATAAAAGGCATGAGGGGGCTGGACACGATAGCTCACACCTGTAATCCCAATGCTTTGGGAGGTTGAGGCAGGAGGAATGCTTCAAGCTAGCAGCCCCAGACCAGCCTAGGCAATAAAATTATCCAGGTGTGGTGGTGCATGCCTACAGACCTAGCTACTCAGGAGGCTGAGGTGGGAGGATCAGCTGAGCCCAGGAGTTGAAGGATGCAGTGAGGTATGATCATACTGCTGTACTCCAGCCTGTGTGATGGTGGGAGGGGGGATGGAAAGTGGGGGCCTTGTCACGGGGGAAGGATGATCTTTTTCTGAGTGCACAAAGTCCCTGCCATTCCTAATTTCTCCTAATGATGGGGGGAGGAAGGTCAAGAAGAGGAGTGGTTTTACTTGGCATGTGGGTGATCCTAGTGAAAGTGTAAAAATAGAGAGAAGAATTTAGAAGCTGAGGCAGGAGGATCACTTGAGCCCAGGAGTTCGAAACTGCAGTGAGCTATGATTGCGCCACTGCACTCCAGCCTGGGCAACAGAGCAAGACCCTGTCTATAAAAAAAGAAGAATTTAAATTTTAAATAGTATGATCATTTTGCCCATGTCCATGTTTGCCGTCAATGAACACATATCACTTGTGTACATGAAATGACACGTGGAAATCCTCTAATTCCCTTAGCTTCCTTTTGACTCTTTTAGTGACAGCATCTTTTTGTGCTGAACATAATTCTGGTGTTGAAAAGTACACATTATCTTCCATAGGACTTGATCCTCAAATTCAAGCCAATGACTTCAGCTGATGCTTAACCAAAGAAACAGGGATCATGGGTGATTTTTCACTCTATGTGATTTTCAACTTGGGTGCTGACATTAGGACCTAACTCCTATGTGGGATGTGCCTCTACTAAAATAGAACTAACTGGGTTCTTGAGAAGATTAAATATGGAACTACAAGTTTATTGGAAGAAAATCCAGTCCCAGTGTAGGAAACAGGAGAGGAAATAATTAGAGGTCCAATCAAATGATTTGCAAATCAGGGCTAGTTTCTAATCAATCAGGAAGCTGCATTGGGATCTGGGATCCATGGATCCAGGTCACCAGCCAGGCAGGTGACAAAATTCTAAGATTAGCATTTCAGGTGCTAAGATGATACCTATTTCAAAGCTCTTTTCCCTAAACTAACTACACACTCTCCCTTTCATCCTCCACTATTAATATGGTCTTTAAAGGAATATTTATCAATCTTTTAAGCCAGTCTGTATCTGAACTCTTCTTTTGTGTACAGGTAAGAACAGAGTCAATCTCCTACTCTAAAGATTGAAAATGACAGATACTCATTTCACAGCCTCCCTGTAGCCAGGGCAGGCACACAACCCAAGCTCTGACACTTGCTCACACTTACTCAAGAACCTGAATCAGAAACTAGTAGCCAAGGAACCAGAAAGTGTAGAATCAAGAATGGCTGTAGTGATTATCAGTAGCTACTTTCCAGAGGCAAGAGGAGAAGAGGGTCTTAGCAGCAATAGGCAGAGTCCAGCATTAGGGCTTTATGGATCAAGGGGTGCTGTCTGTGTCCCATGGCAGCTTGGGTGGTAGTATCACTGGACCAGCTCTGAGCTGCAGCTAGGCATCGTTTCTGGCTGTATAGACTGTTAATCTGGTTCTTCAGTCTCCTCAAAGATTCCATGAGCTCCCCAATATTCTTTGATGAATTATTTTTCAGGTAAAAATCATCGCAGTTGGTTTTTATTGCTTGCCCTCCAGAGCACTGATGGAAACAGAGTTCTTGAAATTGATAGTCAAATGGAAATGGTAAAAAATAAATTACTTGACAAAAGATGTATGGCTTTATCATCTCATAGAGATTGCTTTCATAGTGGTAAAGTCTTTTAAGATGTTACAAATTACTGCCTCCTTCATTTAAATCTCTACTTAATTGAACAGTTCTTAAGTAAAGAGGATGAAGGATTATGTTAGACTTGCCATCTTTAAGGAACTGAAGGTGTTAGATTAGGGGCTGAGGAGGAAAAAAGATTCTTCCTATCAAACTTAGTGTCTGGTTTGCCGACCACCATCTCTGGAATGTGTGGTGGTTTTGCCCTTGACGGTTTTCTGAAAATGAAAATAATTGTTCCAGCCATCTTTTGAAGCAAAAATGAGGATTTATTACATAGAACAAAAGATTAGGGTGTGATATCAAAATACTGCTATGTGACAGTGAAGATGACAGAGGTGCCCTCCAGCCTCAGGACTGCTCAACTCTTGGCACCTGAAGCTTCTTTTCTATAATAGATGAAGATTTTATCACTTTCCTAGTCTACCCAGCTGCCTGCTCTGAGCATGCGGTCAAGCTGAATGGATGTCATTTGTCACTATTAGGGAAATCACATATAGACCTACCTAGTAAGTTTAGATGAAAGAAATTGTGGCAAAGCCTGGGTTTTCTGAGTTACAAACTTTCACTCAAATCACAGTGGCTTGTAGATGAGCATGAACGCTGGATATGAGCAGGACCATGGACAGCACCAAAGGTAGGGCTTGTTGGGATTGGCAGGCATCAGTGGGCGGGTACAAGTGGACCTCCCCCTCCTCTTGAGTAAGGAGACCTCACAGACACAGATAGGAGATGCCAGGATATGGTTTTCGGATTGTATTCTTTTAGTTGGAAATGATGACAGCAATTCAATTCAAAGTAACTTAGGTTAAAAGAGGCATTTATTGGCTGGCATAACTTAAAAGTCCAGGCACAGATCTGACTTTAGGCCTGGATAAATGCAGAGGCTCAAGTGATGTTATGTGGGCACACCTTATCACCCTACCTCTAGGCTCTACTTTCTCTGTACTAGATTTCTTCTCTCCATCTGGTGACCCGTGGAATTTCTAGACTTGCTTAATACCACCTGAGCAACCCCAATGTAAAATGCACTTATCCCTTTCCTGATTGTGCCAGCCAGAGTGCCAGTACTAATACTTAATAGCTTTGATTGGCTCAGATTGGATCACATGCCCATTCCTGAATCAATCGCTGTGACCAGCAGGATGGAGTATTTCCACTGGCCAGGCCAGGCCCACATGACCACTCCTGGAGCCAGCACCACTCATGTTACATGGAATAATTGAGGGAGAGTGGTTCTTCAAAGGAGTATTAGAATGCTGTCATCACAAAATAGAATAGGCAGAACCACAGATGCCCACTAGCCCAATCAAGACGACCAAAGGGAAAGATCTGAATTAAGCAATAGATCCCCCTACCTCTCAGGAAATCAGACCTCCCCATTTTCTATTAGGACTGGGACCATCTGACCCATAGCTCAGCCTTGCTTACTGGTACTGAAATACAAAGCATTGACATTGGAGTAGGTGTTTGGGGAGGAGGAAAGTGTATTAACATTGGAGAAATCTTGTGTGCTAAAGACCTACAAGTGTCCCCAAAATATCAAGCTCTTCTTATCAACACAGATGAAAATAAAAGAGAATACAGCACATATCCTTTAGGTTAGAGCTCAAATGTCACTGCCTTAGAAAGGTCCTTTCTGACTGACACCCTGTTTAAAGTGACTTCCTCCAATCCCTATCTCATGTCCTCTTTATTTTCTTCATACCACTCATCAGAATCTACAATAATCATACTTATAGACTAATTGTTATCTTTTTCCCTGCACTGAAATTTAATCTGAAGAACGGGAGACTTGTTTATGTTGTTTACAGCTACATAATATAGCCGACTCCAGGCACAGTGCTTGTCACATAGTAATTGTGCAAGAAATATTTTTTGATTCAAATAATCAGTGGAAACTCCTGGGCCATGTCCCAGGAGGTCATGGAGCACTTAGTGTTAAATATTTCTGTCAATCAGCTTTTTTCTTTGTAATCTTTAGAGATATTTAAAAAGAAATAATGATTTTGTGAAAAATATATTTTCTTACAAAATATAAGGGGTTTTTAAGTTGCCAAGGACAATTCTTGGAATTTTCCTGGATCTGAGAAGCCTCATGGATGCTCTGCCCTTTGCTTAACTTTCTGTGGATCTCCCTCTTTTCAGAAGTGCTGTCGCTTTGTGTCCCTGTGAGACACTTGACACAGTTGGCTCTGTAGAAAAAGAAGAGCACGGAGGTTTGTGGACCTCTCTTTATCTCCCTGCCAGATTGTAAGCTGTTGGAGGTCAAAGGCTGGTTTCTACTGACCTTTGTGTCCACACAACACCTAACACAGTGTTTTATGCATAATGAGTGGGTGTTGGTTGGCTTGAAATGCATGGCATTTAATTAAATCTCTAAATTATTGTGTCTGCCATAGTGACCTAAAACTTGACAACGTGATGCTGGATTCTGAGGGGCACATCAAGATTGCTGATTTTGGCATGTGTAAGGAAAACATCTGGGATGGGGTGACAACCAAGACATTCTGTGGCACTCCAGACTACATCGCCCCCGAGGTGAGAGCTGCTGGGCGCATGTTCACATTGCGGTGGTGTACCCTCTGCTCCCCAGATGGCCGTGTGAGAGCTGGGAAGGGTCGAGGGTGGTACCTTGCAAGGGAGCCTCGGGCAGATTCTTATTCTATACTCTAAATCCTCCCTTTGAGATCACACATGCAAATTAATTTAGCACACATCCAGAAGCCCAAGCCCAAAATACATCAAGGTTTGGGAGAAAATTTAAATAAAACTCAAAAGAACCATCCAACACACATCAGTAAAATTCTTCATCAAACTGCTGTGGCTCAGGGCCATGTGATACTGCCTAATTATGACATTGAAATGTTTATTGAGAGAGAAAGAGCAGATCCCCTAGGCTGGCATATGACATGGGATCTGCGTCCTGTGTATGTCCCTCAGTAGGAAAATGGACAATAGCCCATGATTTATTTATAGCATGAAATACTACCAGGCACCAATTCAGAAAAGTGAGTTAGATGTATATGTAGATATGAAAAGATCTTCAAGACACATTGTTAAGAGAAAAAAATTAAGGTACAGAATGACAAATACAAGGCCAGGCGTGGCAGCTCACACCTGTAATCCTAGCACCTTGGGAGGCAGAGGCAGCTGGATCACTTGAGCCCAGGAGTTCCAGACTAGCCTGGGCAACATGGTGAGACCTTGTCTCTACAAAAATTAGCTGGGTGTGGTGGCATGTGCCTGTAGTCCCAGCTACTTGGGAGGCTGAGGTAAGAGATTCACCTGAGCCCAAGGAGGTCCAGGCTGCAATGAGCTGTGGTTACACCACTGCACTCTAACCTGGGTGACACAGTGAGACCTGTCTCCAATTAAAAAAAAGACAAATACAATATGATACTAATTATGGATAAAACAGAAATACACAGAACACTGCTCTGTTTTCAATGAGTATGGAGATATATATATATATATATATGCACGTAAAAGCATGCAAAAATCTGGAATATTTCAGACTGATTTTATAACACTGGTTACCTCTGAGGATAAGGGAATTGTAAAGAGAAATTTAGCTACTTCTGTATACTGCTGACATTTTTTACAAGGTAAATGTATTTGTGTATTACTTGAGTAATAAAGTAATTCTTTAAAAATAATAAGGCTTCATTCAGAGCCAGTGAAGTTTTCCCTATGTGATATATTTTGGTCTATTATCATCTTGTTAATTAGTTAGGATATCAGACACAATCTATAACACAACTTCCTGGTAGGCCATGGGTTCCATAATCTCTGGTTATCAACTCTAACTGCAGTATAGAGTCATGAGGGAGCTTTTACAATGCAGGATGCAGCTGAGGCATGGTGGCTCACCACTGTAATCTCAGTGCTTTGGGAGGCTAAGGCAAGAAGACTGCTTCAGGGTAGGAGTTTGAGACTGTACTGGACAACATAGTGAGACCCTAATCTCTACCAAAAAATTCTTTAAAAATTTGCCAGTTGCAGTAGCTCACATCTACTGTCTCAACTACTCAGGAGGATAAGGTGGGAGGATCCCTTGATCCCAGCACCCCATCATGCCACTGCACTCCAGCCTGGGTAACAGAGCAAGTCCCTGTCTCAAAAAAAAAAAAAAAAAAAAAAAAAGTGGGATGCCCAAGCATCATCCCATTAGAATCTCTGCAGGGTGAGGCCCAGGATCTGTGGTTCCTAGAAGTTACTCATTGGTCATGATTCAGGCAAACACAAGAAAACCTGAACTGTGTTGCTGGTCAAGTTGCCTCTCCCTCCAACCTGCAGATGAGAGGGACAAGCTGCAGGGCAGGCTTTGTCATGAACTAACCACATCACTTCTGGCAACTGCTCCGACATCCCAGGCTCTAGTTTCCTTTGTAAAAGGATTAACTTGTTGGGTTGTCAGGAGGATCAAATAAGACTTGAAGTACTTTAAAACTGTGAAAACACTTTCAATGAGAAGTGTTCTGGAACGGTTTCCCTTCCTTGTCTTGCGGGTTACTTCTCAGTGTGCATTTCATTCATTTATAAGTGACAAGTAAAATTGTATACATTTATCATGTGCAACATGTTGTTCTGAAATACATATACATTGTGAAGTGGCTAAGTTGAGTCAATTAACACATTTATTATCTCACATGCTTATTTTTTTTTGTGGTAAGAACACTTAAAAATCCCTCTTAGCAATTTTCAAGAATACAATAGATTGTTATTAAGTATAGTTACTGTTTTATACGATAGATCTCTTGAATTTATTCCTCCTACTTAACTGAAATTTTGTATCCTTTAGTCAACATCTCTGCATTTCTGATTTGGGAATAGAAATCAAAGTGGGAGATAGAGATCAAGAAATGACATTCACTTTACAGCCAAGTTTGCTCAAATAACCCTTTTTGAGTTAAACAAGCAGTAACTGAATTATAAAACATTCTAGCTAACATTTTGAGGGCATAATATGTGAAAGCCACCTAATATCTCATTCATCCTCATATAACCCCAGGATATAGCTATTATAGAAGTTAAGTAGCTTCTTCTGTGGTCACACAACCAGTAGACAACAGTCAGGATTCAAAGTCAGACTGCCTGACCCTCAGACCTCAGCCTTTAGCCTTTGCTGTATTACCTCTTAACCTCTGACGTGGTTAGTTTTATATCCCTACCTACTGAAAGATAGAGAGTCATCTGACTCTTCTAGACTTTTCCGTGCTCTGGCAGTTTGGTAATATGAATTAAAAACTTCACAACCGTACATACCATATGATCCACCAATTGTACATCTAAGAATTTATCCTAAGGAAATACTTGGACAGATGTCCAAATGTCTAATTACAAGAATATATGTTACAGCATTGGAAGAAACCTAATCAACTGGAAATTTTTAAGGTACATTTTGATATATCCATTCAACGGAATGCTATGCAGAGATAAAAACTGATTATGTTCATATACAAATATTAAATTGGCAAGGAAAATTTAAGTGAATAAGAGGCTTTATTAAAGTTCTAGTGCCCATAATCCCAGTGCTTTGGGAGGCCAAAGCAGGAGGATTGCTTGAGTTTGAGATCAGCCTGGGCAACATAGAGAGACCCCATCCCTACAAAAATTTAAATAATTAGCATGGTAGTGAGCGCCTGTAGTCCCAACTATGCAGGAGGCCGCGAGGATTGCTTGAGCCCAGGAAGCCAAGGCTTGAGTGATGAGCTATGATATCACCACTGCACTCTAGCCTAGGTGACAAAAAGAGACACTATCTCAAANAAAAAAAAAAAAAAAGAAAGAAAGAAAGAAAAGAAAAGAAAAAAAAAATGGTCCACATACTAAAGTGTTTATGTAAAGCACACACATATGCACAGAGTTCAATATGTATTCAGAGAAAAGACTATGGAATGAAGTAGACCAAACATTAGTCATAAATTTTCTCTTAATAAAGGACTATGGGTGATTTTCACTTTATTATCTTAGATTGTCTATCTTTTATAAACAAAGTAAAATAGTAACAAATATTATTGCCTTTTAAACTTTTTGATTTTTAATTATGTTTTAAAAGCATGTAACATAAAATGTTCTATTTTAACCATTTCTAAGTGTACAGCTTAGTAGTGTTAAGTATACTTAACATCATTATGTAAATGTTATAACTTTTACAATGAAGAGTAAAGACAGTTTTTCCTCTTAAAAGTTTCACGCTCACTGTTTTGAAAATAATAATAATAATAATACACTGTACTAGTGCTTTGAAAAGGCAATGTGACAGCCACAGGTATTTGTCTAGATGCAGGTGCCCCTGCAAAGCATGTCTGTCATTCCCTGAGTAGCTATTGTAAAGAAATAGCTCAGCTGGGCACTGGCCTTCTTGTAAAAGAAGAGTGGAATCTGTCTCCAGCAGAAACATGAACTGCAAACCTCCCTGATAGGATACCTTCTGTTTTCTAGATAATTGCTTATCAGCCCTATGGGAAGTCCGTGGATTGGTGGGCATTTGGAGTCCTGCTGTATGAAATGTTGGCTGGGCAGGTAATTGAATTTTAAGTGATCTATAAGAAAAGTCTTCCCTACCCACCTCCACATGGTTTCTTTGGGAGAATGCATCCGTTTGGTAAGGTCGGAAACTCCATGACTTTCCCAGCCTTGGGGTCATGCAAGTCTGTGGTTATTTGAAAGTCTGGGCGTTTGGCTTCACTGTGGGCCCCAAGGAGGAGGGTCTGCCAGTTGAGGGGAGCTAGGGGGAGGGTTCAAGCAGGGATTCTTCTCCTCCCACCCTCCCCTGTCACACAGGCACCCTTTGAAGGGGAAGATGAAGATGAGCTCTTCCAGTCCATCATGGAACACAATGTAGCCTATCCCAAGTCTATGTCCAAGGAAGCTGTGGCCATCTGCAAAGGGGTAAGTACATCTCTTAAAGCTATGACCAGGACCACCAAATACAGGCATGTGGGCTGTACCCTGCCAAAGAACATCCCACCAGTGGGGAACAGAGCCTGAACTCCACCCTTCACTCCATCTGCCAATGTGAGAGCCCTGACGTGGAGCTGCTACCTCCTGGAGGAGAGAGCCCTTTTTTCCTAATTTGCACAGGAGTGCCATAGAGAGCTGCCTGCAGCGGTGTCTTGCTGCTGGCTGGGCTGCAGTCTCTGAACCAGCACAGGGGAATGCTTATTGAATGAACGAGGTAGAAAGCACAGAGATTTCGTCAAAGAGCTAGAAGTATGGGAAAGGGCGCAAGAGGTCTTTGGCACAACTCAGGCTATCTTGCCCTGCTCTGCTATATGTGTTTGGTTACTATTAAGAGCATGTAACTTTTGTTCTAAAAAATACCAGGCAGTATTGAGATTAAGGGATTCTCTAGATAAGCAGACTGAAATTCAATGTACTCAAAATCCCACTCTCCCCTCACCCCAACACACACACAAATGGCTAAAAGGGCATGCACTCTTGTATGTCTACGGTTTAGGCACAGGGCACCTGTGAAGAAAGCAGGACGTGTGTTTATGAGGAAGGATTGTTTTACGTCTTGTGTTAGACCAGGGTATACTCACAGTGACTTGTGTGAGATAAAGATTAGTGACCCTCACCTTTGGAGCCATCAGGTTAACCCAAAATGCTTTTCCAGAATGCACATGCTTCAGCCTCACCCCAGAGATTAAGTCTGGGTATGAATATTTTGGAAAAGTCTCCATTTGGCTTGCAGACCACTGCGTTTAAACTACTGTTGAAATGAAGTGATTTTTCAACTCTGATGGAAGCCTGAAAGCAATAGAATTAGACACCCAGAAAATATGTTCCAAGCGTAATATACTCATACAGGATTTGCTTTCCCACAACCCAGTGGTACAGGTTAGAACATGGCCATGCTTTAACCACCAGGCTCCCACCTGTGTGTCTAAATAAACCAAGGCTGCCAGTCCTAGATCTGTGGGATGCTTGCAGACTTTTCACACCCTACCTTGCTCTTCCTGACCCCAGCCAGATGCTGGATGCACTGGCTTGGGTGAAGGAAAGCTGGAAAACTCAGAAAGGCCAATCTGAGGCTTGGCTCAGTTTGGAATAGCTGGGCCAGCCTCTCAGCATAAAAGCACCTTGTCACACTAGCTAAATTCCCACTCTCAATGAATCACCTAAGGTTTGCATCTCAGCTACGTAGGCTAAGATGCACATATCCCTGGGGAAGCCACCTGTGAATTAGTCTCAATCCCGAACATCTTAAGTGAATTGCTTGAAAATATTTTCTTTGAGGGTGTGAGGCAGGGAGAGAGAACATGAAGAATAGAGAGGGGTGTTCCAGAGTTGCATTAGGAACCTAAGCAAAGCCCATAAAGAAAAAGGGGGCACACATGAAGGCCAGTACAGGCCCCCGTAGACGTGTTATTGAAGGGTGGAGGAGTAGAGAGAAGATGGCACCTGGTGCTTTTTGTTTGTTTAATAATTACCAGCTTGTAAGAATCAGGAGATTTCTCATAAAAATTCGGCTTTCAGGTTTCTCTTGAAAAATCAGATCTTGCCACATTGGCCTGTCATTCTTACAAAGCACAAGTCAGCTGGATTGGAAACCACTGCCCTCTGTAGTTGGGGCTCGCCTTCTGTAATTCACAGAAATTCTCATCCGGCCAATTCTATCCAAGTTCAAATTCTGGTTCAGGCCTTAATTGCCCTAGGACCATGGGGAAGTTGTTTGATCGTGTCTGCAGATTCAAGATAATAACAGCACTCCACACAGGGTTCTTTGATGATTAAACAGCTGAATACTGTAAATCACTTAAAGCAGAGGCGGGCAGTCTGCTCCAAACCCCTTGGAAGTTATCATTACTATTACGAGTGCTGACACTACTGTGCCATCTGCCAGGTTCCTCTTGGCATTTGAGTTTGCATCCCCTGGAATTGCAACTTTTAAAGTAGGGGATTTTGGAGATCAAGGGACTCTGCAAATCTCGATGTTTCCAATTCCTAGACACAAGGTCTTTTTATTATTATTACATATATTTTTTGAGACAATGTCTTGCTCTGTCTCCCAGGCTAGGGTGCCGTGACGTGATCATGGCCCACTGCAGCCTTGATCTCCCAGGCTCAAGCGATCCTCCTGTCTCTGCCTCCCGAAGTGCTGCGATTACAGTCATGGTCCACTGCACCCAGCCTAGGTGCAAGATGTTAAGCCACTTTCTTTGCATCTCTGGGCTTCTGTTTATTCTAAAAAATGAAATAGTAGTACTCATTGAACAGAGTTTTTGAGAACATCAAATGAGATAACATAAGAGAAAACTCCTTGCATGACATGGGCACATAGTAGGTGTTCAATACATGCACACTGTCTTCCCCTTCACACGCCTGCCCTGTCTGGACAGCTGGGGGTTCTAAGTGGGTCATGGAGTAGAGAGGATTTTCCAGGTCAGCTGCCTTCAGCTTCAGCTCCAATTAGCACTTTCCCTGGTAGAGCCGTTTTCTATTAATTCATGACCCATAACCTTCAGGATTAACTGGGGTGACTCTCTTACTATTGAGTTTGGGGACCGTTATTAATTGAGTGGGCTGAGTCCAACGCGGGCTCTTCCTTCAAGGAGGGTACTCCAAAAACGAGTGACGCTTAAGCAAGCAGCCAAATGCTTCCTCTGGAACAGCAAGCCCCAGGGGATGCGTCTGGGAGGTGATCAGAGATTGGAACAGTGATTAAATCCAGCTGTCTACATGGCTTCAGGCACATTAAAGCAGAGTGCGGGAACTGGGCAGAGACTCCGAATTAATGTCAGATGTTTCTGCAGTGCCTTTTCTTTGCTTGGCATCCTCCTGCTTAGACAGAAATGGAGTTGAGGTTTTGAAAACAGTTGCCTGTTTAATTGAAACAGTATCCTTTATATCCCCATCCCCTTAAAGGCCTGATTTTCTACCATAAAAAAAAAGTTAGTAAAACCTTACTCAGATGGTCATTCCCACTTTGAACAAGCTTGAAACAAACAGAAGCCCAAATAGGTCGCACCTTAGGGTGAAAACCAGCAGACTGAACAGCTAAGACGGAGCACAAAGCTATGAGTCCTGGACCAGGCAGAGCTCTTCAAAGCCTTGCCCTACTCCTTAGCTGTATGACCTTAGACAGATGATGGTACTTCTCTGCACCCACATCCTTTACCTGGGAAATGGGGGATAATAGTTGCTGAGGCCTCAGAGTATTGTTGCAAAGGTTAGAGACTAATGGGTAATGGCTGGGAAGCCTTTAGCACAGAGCCTGAGCACCTATGATATTGTTACTGATAAATAATAATATCAGTAACAGCTTTAGTTATCGATTGTGCAACAATCAATAACAAATAATAAATAATAATTGATTATCATATTTATCACTAACAGCTTTCATTATTGATTGTTGCACAATCAATAACGAAAGCTGTTATTGATACTATTATTATTATCAGTCTGAGTCAAAACCAAACTGCCCTTTCTTTCCTCCCATCCTAAACTTACACAAATGTCAAGGCGTGGCTCAATTTCCTTACCCCCCATAAACCTCCCCTGACAAAGCCAGGCCACAAAAATCCCTGAGAAAACCACGTGTGAAATGCCCTCCCATTTTTCTTAAAAGCCCAAGTTTTAGAGCTAGGCAGAGGTAGGGTCTGCACCCAGCCCTTACTGACTCTGCCACTTCCTATTTCTGAGTCCTTGCTGTTCCTCAACTTCTCTGAGTGTTCATTGCTGTTTTATTCAAATGGGAAAATTAGTGTACTCACCTCATTGGGTTATCATGATGATCAGGGAAGATTGTGAATGTAAATAAAGAAGTAGCTAGCTTAGAACCTAAGTCCCCAGTTAATTTCCCAACCCTGGAAGATAAACTTTCTATGACAAGTCCATGCTTGTGTGTGTGACCACAAATTATCTCGTAGGCAGGCAACAGGCTGAATGAACGTCCAACAGTGTAGGAATGAATTTCTGGGCTCATCCCTTCCCCATCATCAAGTCCCGAGCAGAATCTAAGGATTCTGCCATCATGCGCTCCTCAATGTGATATCGACTCTGGGAAGCTTTTGGACTTGCATGTTCCTTTTTATTTTTTTTTTAATTAATCACCATCTCGTTCATCTTTACTCTCTGTTCATTTGCTCAAGTCTTGAGATCAGAGATATTTTCATGCTGCTTTGGACTCATTTACAAGAGGAAGCCTGTCTGGTTTCATCTTGCAGCATCTATTCATCTTGTTATTTAGCACTCAGAGACCCAAAGATGGAGGGTTTTGATAATTAAGTAATTTAAACGGAACACCAAAGAAACCTCAGCAGCATTGTATGTAATATATGATACAAGGGAAATGAGCTGGGCTGGTTTTTGACTATTTAATGAGCTTTCAGAAAGTAATTACTCGAAACTTGGGCCCCTTTGACTAATACTTTTTCTTCTGCTTTGGCATTTTTGCAAACGCTTTACTGAGAAATGTAAATAGTATCCGAATGAATGTAGCCTTTGCTTTCGTCAATCTCCAGTTTTCTTGTTGTGGGAGGAGGGGAGTGTGACGATATTGAAACTGTCCTAATTAAATGCACTGGTAATTGCATAAAACTTATTCTTGAACTAAAATGGATCCTGCGACATTGCTAACTTAAAGTTCAGGGCCACATTCAGGCTTCGGTTTGATTCACCGGAAAGGATGGGTAGCAGCAGGCCCTGTTGTTGGGTTTTCTCCTACAAAGTCCTGGCTGGGATTCTTTGCTGGGATAAAAAGCAAAAAACAAAAATGAGTTGAGATCCTTTGTGCTTTCTTTCCTAATGCATTGGAGTAATAATTTCTGAGTGTCTCCCATTTCCTCTTCTGAAACTCATCAAATTCAATGTTTTTCGTTCTCTCGAAGCTGATGACCAAACACCCGGGCAAACGTCTGGGTTGCGGACCTGAAGGTGAACGTGATATCAAAGAGCATGCATTTTTCCGGTATATTGATTGGGAGAAACTTGAACGCAAAGAGATCCAGCCCCCATATAAGCCAAAAGCTGTAAGTAGCCCATTATCTCTGACTGTTGAGTATTCACACACAACGTATTCTTTCCTGTGCCCCGTGTTTTCCAAATGCTTCCTGAAGGGTAGACGTCGATGTGTCTACTTGAACATGGGTGTATGTGTTCACACGTATGCACAAAGTCACCAGGTACGAAGATGGACATTTCCACTGGCCAGCTCGGCCTCAATAAAGATGGAAATGACGATGCCTATTGAATTTTTGTTTCATTGATTCAATTATTGTAACTGTCTTAGCTGACAACTTTTTGAGACTGGTTCTTGGGTGAGCAGAGTTCAGATCCATTTCTGGACTGTGATAAAGGATCTAATTTTGCCCTCATTCTTTCTCTTGGTTCAACTGTGTCATTTTCTCTTCATACTGACATTGAAAAGGTCATGTTGTTTATCTCAACAGCATTTAAATTTAATTCTGAAACATACACTATCTCTGAGTTAGTAAATAAGACAGCAGTTCAGCAGCCAGCTCCCACCCAAGGCGAAGCAGAGTGAAGCAGAGACTGACATCCTCTTGAAGCGAAGACCCCCTCCTGGAGGCTTTGGGTGTGGAGATGGCTTTGACATAACTTTTATAACACAGGAATAAAACTCTCACATTTCCCACGGTCCATGTAACCACGGGAAGGTTTTCTATCCCCAAAGGCTCAGCAGGGAGTACTTGTCGGCATCAGGAAAGAAGAGTTTGCACCTGAATTAATCAAACTGTGATTCTGCTGGGAGGATATTTCCTTGTGAAATTAAATAGAGGGCAGACCTGGTGACTTGATGATGGTTGTAGAACTACTGACTGAGGCTGAAGAGTGACTATAAACACCGCCATTGAAACCTAATGTTGTGAGGGTCTGGGTTGTTAGGATGAAGAAGATCATAACGGTAGTTATTTTGATACTAGTATTGTTATTAATTTCTTGAGCACTTACGTGCTAGGCTCCATATTAAGCATTTCTCATGCAGCATCAAATTAAATCCACGCGACAGCCTCTGAAGGAAGGTGCTGACATTCCATGTTATGGAAGAGGAAGCAGGGTCTCAGAGAGGTTAAGTGCTCTGTTCGAGGTCACTCAGCCAGCGTGATGAAGGGAGAATCCAAGCCTCAGAAAGTCTGACTCTCTTGGAGGCCCATCAGGAAGCCCAGAGGCAAAGGGCACGTAATTCAGGAGCCTCCCAGGTGATGTTCACCTCTCCCAGTGCCGCACCTTCCCCCATCCCAGACGGCTAGAATCACAGCTCTACACCAATCTCCGTGCGTCCCGTTTCTCCCTGGATGCCTCCTGGTGTAGGAAGCCATGACCTCTAGAGGCAGCCAGTTCCACTTTATTGCCAACCTGTACACTGCCATCAGATCAGCCTTCCCAGAACTCCCGCTAGAGCCTCTCTCTCTCTGGATTAACCTTCAGACATTTTCAGATGCAGGTTCTAATTTCTTCTTCTTTTTTTTGTAGTCTCACTCTGTCACCCAGGTTGGAGTGTAATGTGTGATCTTGGTTCACCGCAAGCTCCGCCTCCCGTGTTCAAGCAATTCTTCTCCTGCAGCCTTCTGAGTAGCTGGGATTACAGGTGGCACCACCATGCCTGGCTAATTTTTGTAGTTTTAGTAGAGATGGGGTTTCACTGTGTTGGCCAGGCTGGTCTCGAACTCCTGACCTCAGGTGATCCCATCCACCTGAGCCTCCCAAAGTGCTGGGATTACAGGCGTGAGCCACCACACCCAGCCTGATTCCTTCTTGAATCCTGTGATTTCCAGTTAAACCCTGCTCCCCCCACCCGCCTCCACAAGCATGTACCATAGGACATTACTTCGAGGTGCCTGTTGTTTTCCATGACATCCACATCTATCTTAAAATACAGACACAAAATTGAGCACAATACCCTTAATCGTGCCTGACTCTTAATGAATACAGTGGATCAAATCATCCCTTGGTTATTTCAGAGCTGGTGAACTGGGACCAGTCTGTTTCCCTCTGATCCACTGTGTCATCATCTGTAATACAATGACGAGAATAGTTCTGACATCAGAGGATTGTTATGATGCATAAATCACTTCACAGGAGACTGATACATACGAGGCACTCACAGAGAGGTGATCATTGTTTTTGTTAGCTGTGTCATACATTAATTAATGTCTCAGGAGTAGGGTCTTTGAAGGGCAGAATCCTGCTGCTATTCCTTAAGATAATGTCTGTGTGTACATTGGGATTGAAATGGTGAAATATACAGACACATGTGTCATGAGCAGCATCACTGCTTTTATGGGGCCATTTGGAAAAAGATGAAAAGGTAACCTGGAAAGGAAGTGTGAGCTCTGTGTTCAGGAAACCAGGAACTCAGAGGTGAGACTCCTATGGTTTTTGTGGGGTTGTTTATGAGACCTCGAAATGTGAACCTTCCTTTCCTCACTCGGCCAGAGGAAAGATGCATGTGCTCCCATCCCCACTGGCATAGAACCCAGCGGACGCCTGGGGTCATGTTTTAGCTGTAGCACAGTGGTTTGCAAAGTGTGCTGTCCATCAGTATGCAATGTCAGCACGCAGTGTCACAGCCAGCAGTATCGGCATCACCTGGGCACTTTAGGAATGAAGATCTCGGGCTCCAACCCAGACTTCCTGAATCAGAAACTCTAGGAGTAGGGCCCAGTATTCTGTGTTTAATAGGCTCTCCAGGTACCCTGATGTGCTCTCAAGGTTGAGAATCACTGCTGTAGAGTTTAGCATTAGGTTCTCAGCCAGGGAAGCTAGGCAGAGACCAGAGGGAGGTAGCAGGGACAATCATCTTTTTTTTTTTTTTTCTTTTTTTGAAGACAGGGTCTTTCTCTGTCACCTAGGTTGGAATGCAGTAGCACAATCATAGCTCACTGCAGCCTCGACCTCCAGGGCTCAAGCAATGTTCTCACCTCAGCTTCCTGAGTAGCTGGGACTATAGGAGTGTACCACTACGTCTGCCAAATGTTTTATTTTTAATTTTAAATGAATGGGGTCTTTGCCGGGCGTGGTGCCTCACATCTGTAATCCTGGCACTTTGGGAAGTCGAGGTGGGCGAATCCCCTGAGCTCAGGAGTTTGAGACCAGCCTGGCCAACATGGTAAAACCCCATCTCTGCTAAAAAATACAAAAATTGGCTAGGTGTGTGCCTGCAATCCCAGCTATTCATGAGGCTGAGGCAGGAGAATCGCTTGAACCCAGGAGGCAGAGGTTACAGTGAGCTGAGATGGCGCCACTGCACTCTAGCCTGGGCGACAGAGTGAAACTCCGTCCCAAAAATAAATAAGTAAAAAATAATAAATGAATGAATGAATGTGGTCTTGCCAGGCTAGCCTCAAACTCTGGGCTCAAGTGATCCTCCAACAACCTCAGCCTTCCAAAGTACTGGGATTACAGGTGTGAACCACTGAGTCCAGCCAAGAGAATCATCTCTTTAAGTGGAAGACACTGGTCCTCCTTCCAGTCAGGGAGTGGGGTGGTGGCTTCCAGAAGAGGTCACAGGCTCAGCTGCCTACAGAGGCCAAGCAGATAATATGAGTGGGGGAAGAGGGCTGGTGAGATAGAAGAGAAAGTGGTGGAGATCTGTGCAAGGGAGAAAGCAGGTGAGCTACCTAAGAGGCTCTAGGGTACTTAGATACCTAAGTGATACTCACCTCCCGATGGCCTGCCTTGCAGGTTGCAGCCTCTGCAGGGCTCCATCTTCATGGTTTTCAGGGGCTAGAACTCAGTGCTGCGGGGTGCAGCAGGCCTATGAGTTGATTGACAGATCCTGTTACAGTCAGTGCAGTAGGTAGATCCTGTGTAGTAGGGCTTAGTTAAAGGGTATATAAAGTTAAGATGTTTAGATAAAATTTCACGATTTGGGCCAGGTACAGTGGCTCATGCCTGTAATCCCAGCACTTTGGGGGGCTGAGGCAAGCAGATCACCTGAGGTCTGGATTTTGAGACCAACCTCGCCAGTGTAGTGAAACACTGTCTCTGCTAAAAATTCAAAAATTAGCCAGGCATGGTGGCACTGCCTGTAATCTCAGCTACTCAGAAGGCTGAGGCAGGAGAATCGATTGAACCCAGCAGGCAAGTTGCAGTGAGCTGAGATCGCATCACTGCACTCCAGCCTGGGCGACAGAGCAAGACTCCATCTCACAAAAAAAAAAAAAAAAAAAAAAAAAAACACAAAAAAAAAAAAAAAAAAAAAAAGAAAGAAAGAAACTCATGATTTCTTTTATATACCATAACAAATTTTTGAAAATTAAACGCGGTCCGGGGCACATAGAACACATCCACACCCATATATATCCCATGCACTGTTGATTTATAGCCTCAGGGATAGTGATGATTTGATGTCAGGTTGCTATTTAGCCAGCGTCTGTTAGCACTGGTTATTTACAACCAGAGTCTATTCTGACTGTTAAATATTTTGAATAACCCCGCTAAGCAGTAATGAATAGAAAAGGTCTAGCCTTGTGCCTGGCTCATAGAGAGCACTCAGGAAAAGGTAGCTGTTATTATCATTGATAACATAAAAAAATTACAGTACTTAGTATCAACAAGATCCCTCAACTGTTCTGTATTTGGTATGATTTTCCACTGAATTCTGTCTTGAATTCCTTCATGTGGGTTGAACAATGACTTTCAAAGTACAGTGACCGGGCTGGACTACATACTTCATAATGTTCTGGTATCAGCTCTAAAGGAGCAGGCGCTTCCATCAATCTCCTTAAACTGAATTAGAAATAATAATAAATGATACATCATCCAGATGCAGTGGCTCAGGCCTCTAATACCTGCACTTTGGAAGGCTGAAGCAGGCAGATCGCTCGAGCCCAGGAATTCAAGACCAGTCTGGGCAACATGGCAAAACCGCATCTCTACAAAAAATATAAAAATTAGCGGGCATGATGGCATCCACCTGTAGTTCCAGCTACCCAGGAAGCTGAGGTGGGAGAATCTTGATCCTGGGAGGTTGAGGCTGCAGTGAGCCATGATCATACCACTGGCA